TTATTTATAAAATTTAAAAGGTCTTTACAGCCCGAAGCTATCAGCCACCTTGACTGTCCTTCTATAGGTCTATTCTTGCCCCTGTCTAGCATGCCCTTTTCTACCTTCCCTTTCAGAATATTGTCCCTTCTTCAGGATATGACTGTAACAGATCATTTTCATGAGGCTTCTTTGGACAAATTTTGTTCCCGTGATGTTTTGGTTTTCTGCATTTTATGTTAACATTTTTTGTCGGCCCCAGTGACTTGTGAATGTATCATCTTACATTTCTGTTTTTATGTGTGTCTTAATATTTTAAACTAGATTTAGGCTGGATATGGGTTTAGGGGAAAGGAGATGAGAACAAAGAAGTGGACCTTGCCTTCTTTTAGCATATCCTTCAGACCTTAAGGCACCTTTTTTTTTTTCAATAGAAGTTAAAAGCTTCCAGAATAGAAATGGGAAATATAGAGGTGAAGGTAGAAATTGAATAAATAGGATTCAGATAAACAGAAGACTGTTCCTAGCTTCTAATCTGTGTGTAATAATGTCTGGGTGTGTTAGACAGGTGGAAAGCACAGATGGGGAGGGTATGAGGTGTTAGCTTTAGAAAAATAAGCTATATTATAAATTCCTTGAGATCAAAAGGAAGTATAACCAACATACACACAGCAGGAAGATCTAATTATTTTAGAAATGCATGGTTATTCCATGGGGGGGAAAATGCCTTTGAAACATTTACTTTTAAGCTATTTTTTATGGCTGATTTATCTTCACATTGAGAATAGTGAATATGTCTTATACACTAAGCAAGAAGGAGAAAAATACCCAATAAGAACTTGATTTATTTATTTTTTAAAGTATATTTTTATTTATTTCAGTGAGGGAGGGATAAAAACATCAATAATGAGAGAGAATCATTGATCAGCTGCCTCCTACACACCGCCCACTGGAGATCAAGCCCTCAACCCTGGTATATGCTCTGACTAGGAATCAAACCATGACCTCCTGGTTCATAGATGGAAGCTCAACCCCTAAGCCACACTGGCCGGGCAAAAAAAACTTGATTTTTTTTTTTTAAGCTCATCTCTCATTTCTAATTATTATAAGAGTATTTTGTTAAGGCTTATTCTGCAGAGTATTTTGTTAAGGCTTATTTTAAAGCACTTCTCAAAAAGTGTTTGTGAAATTATGTGTAAGTAATTGCATGAATATACGAAGTATGAATGTGTGTCTTTTACATTTCAGGTTTGGATTTGGGCTTGGATGGTTGTTTATTGCAGCTTTGTCAGCAAGCCATTGGTGCATATCTGCTGATATGCAGAGGAGATGTGGTCTTATGAGAGTTGATTTATGCTTTCCCTTTTGCCTTTGACTTTTTGTGCTTTTCCCTCACTGCCTTCACTCTTTCTGGATTTGGTGTTCTTGTATAGAATAAGTTCTCTTTTTTAATAATATGAATAAATTAGGTTTATACTAAAACTAGTGTGGCCCGGTGCATGAAATTCGTGCACATTAAAAAGGGAATTAATTGCCCTAACCGGTTTGGCTCAATGGATAGAGCTTCGGCCTGCAGACTCAAGGGTCCCAGGTTCGATTCCGGTCAATGGCATGTACCTTTGTTGCGGGCACATCCCCAGTGGGGAGTGTGCAGGAGGCAGCTGATCGATGTTTCTCTCTCATCGATGTTTCTAACTCTCTATCCCTCTTCCTTCCTCTCTGTAAAAAGTCAATAAAATATTTTTTTTAAAAGGGAATTAATTAGCGGAGATATTTTAATATTGCTATTTGCCCTTTCTCTATAATATAAGTGTGAGAAATGAAAGGAAATTAGTAAAATATATAAGAAAATAAAAATTTATTAATAAATAACAGTAAAAAAGATATAACAACAACAGAGGCTTGATATAAAAACGACAAAAACATGATATGAAAACAATAGAAACATGATATAAAAACAACAGTGATGCAAACAATGACTGATAAAGTGATTAAGCTTATTCTAATATCTCCCTGTACACCACATTAAGAGTGAAAACACTTTCAGAGTGCTTGACTAATTTCCCTTGTGATGAAGTATTTAGAACTTTAACTGTAATGTCACATGCTCTTCAAACTCGAGAGAAAGCAACATATAACTGACCATCTACGAAAATGGGTTCAGGTAGGAATATGCCTACTTTGTCTAGAGTTTGTCCTTGTGATTTATTAATAGTCATCACAAATGCTGGCATCACGGGAAACGTTGTCGAATCAATTTAAATGGGAGGCCAGTGTCAGATGGGGACAAATTAATTCTTGGAATCAGAACAACCTCTCCCTCTGCAGATCCTGTTAATACTTCAGCTTCGATAATGTTAGGTCGTAATCTTTTGATAATAAATCTGGTACCATTACAAAGACCCCATTTACTATTGAGATTTCTCAATAGCATGATGATTGCACCCACTTTCAGTTTTAATTTATGACACGGCATTCCCGAAGGAGAAATTCGAAGGAGAATTGAGAAATTCGATGGTAAAATTTTCCTTTTCAGCATCATCTGTGGAATCAATGGAATCATCACTCAAATATGTGTGAAAATCTCCATCGAGTATATCCAAATTTTCTTCATTTAATTTTTGAACATGCTCATTTTTTGGACAAAGAATTGCACGTTTAGATATATTTTTAATATTATCTATAGCAGTGGTTCTCAACCTTGGCTGCACATTAGAATCACTTGGGAATCTTTTTTAAACCCTGATTCCTGGGCCTCATCCTCCGGAAATTTTTCTTTGTTATGGGGTGGGGCCACAACATTAGTAACAAAGAAACAGAATTTCCGGAGGATGAGGCCCAGAAATCAGGATTTTAAAAAGATTCCCAGGTGATTCTAATGTGTAGCCAAGGTTGAGAACCACTGATCTATAGATATAGTATTTCCAAAGGTAGCTTCAATAATAGATCCATTACAAATCATTTCACTTCCATGCTCCGCTCTGAGGGCGGGTTCCTGCCTGAAAACTCGCCCTGAGGGCCGGTTCCTGCCTGAAACCTCACCCTCCAGGAAACAGCTGGGGAAGGGCGCAGCTGTTTCCAAGATGACCCCTGCAGGACTGATTTCCTTCCGGTTGGTCGCGGTTCTGGCCGTGATGTTACACCCAGGGTTTTTATATAAGGAGATTTTGCTACAGTTTTTATTATTGGGCATTTATAGTGGCAAGAACTGATTTTGGAAGTTCCTGACAGCTCTCTAGCTCAAATTTGCCTCTGCAATTAAGTAATGGAAGAGGGGGGAAAGGGTGGGGAAAAAGGAAAGGAGAACATAACCTATTCACTTTGTTCATCATTTACCTTTTAATATTATTATTATTATTATTATTATTATTATTTGTTACGTTTTATTCACTTCTTCCTCTTTCACCACTGCGAGCTTTTCCTTCAAGTAAATGTTTGAAGGAATGTGAAGTGTTAAATTCCCATATGGAAAATAAGGAAGGAAAAGGAAAAATTATAGAACATTCTTGTACAGCAGGTTCTCAAATAATGTTTTGTTCAATGTCATTTTGTTAAAGCATGGATGAGATACCATAGGAACTTAACTCTTGTTTATATCAAGAGTTAAAATGTCATATTTTGTTTTGCTTAATTTTTGCATAAAGTCACAGAATCTGTTGGCAATGTTAAGTGAATACTTATTGTAGGTAACAATTTCAGGTACAGTAAGGGCAGACCAGCTCTGCCATAGCCACATCTGTTGCTTTTCTTAGGCTTAGTAGGCAAGATTTCTTCAAGTTTAAGCAGAAACTCTTTCCCCACCAGGATACCTATTTCTGAAAATAGGGTGTGAAGTGAATTCCTTCTGTGTTTGATGGCAGTTATTCATGTATCAAGTTTTCAAGAACAGTTGAAGCTAAAGTATAGAAAGGAACATGAACTTTTGTTTTTTAGTTTTTACTTTTTTTATTGATCAGAGAGAGAGAGAGAAACATCAATTGGTTGCCTCCAGCACACGTCCCAACTGGAGACTGAACCCACAATCTAGGTATGTGCTCTGACCAGGAATCAAACCTGATCAAGGGATGATGCTCCAAACAACTGGGTCTGAGCCACACAGGTTAGGGGAGTAATGTTGATTGTTTAGGAAAGTACTCTTATCAGAACTATAGTCATACTAGTGACCCTCCACGAGTAGCTCGCTGCCGCTTGCCTCAGCTGGCCGCCCTACCCACCGCCACTCGAAGCTCTCCACCGCATGTAGCTTGCTGCCCCCGCTCCTGTAGCTCTCTGCAGCCCTGTAACTCGCTGCCCCACCCTCCTACTGGTACGTTACGTGATGGCGTCCCGACCAATTTGCATATTAACCTACTATAAGTATAGATAGAAACTTGAAATCATTTATTGAAGTGATTCCAAGTCCTTGAAGTCTCTGAAATTAGCAGAGTTATTGGGGACAGATTTTCCCACAATACAGCATGGGATAAGAAAAACATGATTCCCATCGAAAACAAGTTTCATCTTTGTTGTAGTACTGGTTATTACCTGTAATCTGAAACTAAGCAAAAAATGTGACTCCTTTAAAGAAATAGGATAAGTAATTATTGATTAAATATTTGGTGGGGAATGGGACAAGAGATATAATATTAGGGATCTTTGCTTTCTGAAATGTTTTGAAATGACTAATATGCATAGTCTTCTTCATTTCTTCAATTAGAAAGTAAGATCAGGTGAGATTAAAGAACTTGCCCAAGGCCACAGGAATCAGTGGCAGATGTGTATAGACTTCAGCTGTCCTGTAAGAGGGGTGTTAAGTCTGCCAGGCAAGACTTAATAGGACAATGAAGTCACTTGACAGGAGAAAAGTCACCTTACCCTTACTTTGTGTTCAACAATGTACTTACTCAGTGCCTTTATCATCTGAACCAGAGAGGGAAAACTTATTCTTAAGGTTTAAGAATTTTAAAAAATTTGGTGATATTAAGTGATAATCAGCTTTTCATAATGCCTTTGCTTTTCCTTTTTCCTTTTTGTTTTGTTAGGTGGTATGGTCAGGAAAAAGACTACAATGTGCTAGTCATGGATCTTCTTGGACCCAGCCTTGAAGACCTCTTCAATTTCTGTTCAAGAAGGTTCACAATGAAAACTGTACTTATGTTAGCTGACCAGGTATGTGAAATTTTGATGAGAATATTACTGTTCACCACTGTTTAACTTTAGGATCAGCAAATAAGATAAAATAGGAGGATGTACTCATTCAAGTTTACTACTCTGATATGACTTGTAGATGTTTTCCGATCAGTATAGGACAAAAATGGATTATGCTGGTTTACTACTCACCTCTAGACTAGTAGTTTTCATGGTGCTCCATCAGATGAAGAGCATTTGTTTTAGTGTTGAATGTAGCAAGTTTCCTTATAAGATTTTGTTTGAAGAAAGGGTTCAGAGTGTAGTATATAAATATAAATAAATGTACATATTGAAATTTTGGCTAAATTAAACAGATTGAATGCTATGTATTATGTCTGGAACCTTATGAAAGCTATATTTTTTAAAAAGGCACTAAAATCAAGATTTTTTTTTTTGATTTTTTTTTTTGGCCAAATAGATGTTTTTCGAAGTGATGGAAACTCAGCCATTGGTAGAATTTAAGCAAAGTTGGAATTTTTTGAGGTGTCATGAATTCGATCAATGCATTGGCTAGTGTTAGATTAAATTGTTTTAAAGCCAGAGCTTAGGTTTTTCTTTTTATAAGAAAGAAGATGTGTTTTAAAGAATTTTAAGATATGGGAATAGAGTCGGAAACAGGTAAATACATATAATTTTTAATTTTGGTCAAGATACCTTTAAGGGCAGGAAACTGTTGGAATTGGGTCAAGTTAACTTAATGTGTAAAATTGCTGTGGAAGAGAAAAACGTTTTAAAAATTTAGACCTAATATCATAAGAAAGTAAAATGAGATGATAAACAGAACTAGCATTTGAGGTAGAATTTTAGGAAAAATACAAAGGATTAGAAAGTAGTGCTCACTTTTTTTGTAATCAGCGCCTGATATTCCCTAAGTTTAACATATTAGTAAAGTACGGTGTTCTATTTGTGGCATATTATGGGCTCAAACATTAAAAAGTTTAAAACCTTTTAATATGTTTGAACTAACATGTAAGTGAATCCTAATAAAAATTTTATATTCTATAGCCTCAGTAACACATAGGCATTTATAAGGAAACATTTCAGGGCCTGCTACTGTAATTAGCACTGGGAGGAGAGGGATATGAAAAAACATAACTAGTTCCTTCTAGGAGCTTAGAGTTTACTAGTATTAGAGAAAAATGGAAAAATACAATGTTCTAGGTTCTGTGATAAAAGTATATTCTGGGTACACTGGTTGCGAAGGATAAAGAATAATTCGGGATGCAGAAAAGCATTTGTTTTAGCAGGTAACAGCTAAGTCTTGGTGATAGGCAACACTCGAATTAGTCTAAAGTTTGTGCTATTGTCTTTCCCCCAGTGTTTTCCCAGTGAGTTAATAGTCACAGTTTAATGAAGGGTATTATTTAGCTAGGACGAATGTGTACATTAAGTGAGCCAAGTGGTTTGTTTAATTCCTTAATGAACAAGGTGGTACTTGGACATTGCATATATCTACTTCCTTGAGAGTATAAACAGTGTAAGCCAGAGATTACAGATTTGACTTCAAAAGACATTTGTCAAGGTAAATGAGTAAGTTTTAGAATCTTTATATTCCTAGTAATAAAAACTCGGGAAAATTAGGACAAATAAAAAAAATAGAACCTTGACACGTACTACTGAGAAGAGCAAGAACATGGGTAAGATAATGTTGGCAGTCTGGCTATGGCAAACATTATCAAATAAAACAATTTCTAAGTCTCTTACAGAATAGGTAGACATATTTGATCATTTGAAGTTAAAACTATTTTAGAAGAGATATCATAAATAGTCAAAAGACAGGTTTTTTAAAAATGTAAATCTATTTACATAACAAATTACAGATAAAAGATTGTTGTATACAAAGAATTTTTGAAAAATTGACAAGAAAAGAACAAGTCAAAAGAATAATGGACAAAAAAATATATATTGACAGTTTATAGAATAGTAAATTGAAATGATCAGTACAAATGAACAGATTTCCAAACTAAGTGTTAGGGGATAATTGTCAAAGTGGCAAAATTTAGAAAGAACTGAAATCACTTTACTAGTGGGATAAAAGAATACTCTCATATACTCCTAGTCGAAAAATGAATTGTTAATAACCTATTTTAAAACACTTGGAGTGCGGGAAACGAGTTAAGTCGGCTCGCGTGAATTGCGCGTACTCCGCGGGAGCCGTCTTTAACTCGGTTCATATAGATTTGCGGTGGAGTGCGGGAAACGTGTAAACTCGGGCCGATTGTAACTGCGTATTACCAAATATTTGTTTGTAATCCACCCTTTTGGTGGATGGAACAAAACCAAAAGACAGAGCCATCTTATATTTTGGCGGGAAATTCACCCGCACTCCAAGTGTTAAAAGGCACCTATCAAAATGAAAAATACCCTTTAACCCAGCAACTCTCCCTGAAATTGTGTGGAACTTCTGGCCCATAGAAATAAAAGCACTAGTAGGTAGCATATTTAAGTTTATTAATATAATTATTGCTTACAGTAGGGAAATAATAACAATACTGTAAGTTGGGGAAAACATATCTATACCACAGAATATTTGTAAGACCTACACCATTTGACTTGATAGAATTTTCAAAAAAAACTTGTCAGATGGCATGTTAACAATTCAGATTTTGAATATGATTATATTAGTGTGGAGAAAAAAATGGGGGCGTCCAAAAAATGTTAAAAAAAAGGAGAAAAAAGGAAATCCAGCATGTATATGGCCTCATTTATATAAAGTCATATGCTTATTTTGTATGCTACCAACTTCCAGGAATGTTTTAGATATGTGTAGTTAAAAATAAATAAGCAAACAAGAATAAAGTTAATAAAGTGCTTCTATTTCCGTTTAAAACAATAACAATTTATAGCTTTTATCATCTAATTCAAATTGCTTGACTCAATTTTCTCTTCCTTTTTCTTTCCCCAGATGATCAGTAGAATTGAATATGTGCATACAAAGAATTTTATACACAGAGACATTAAACCAGATAACTTCCTAATGGGTATTGGGCGTCACTGTAATAAGGTTAGTCAAATGTTCTTTGCATGAAAGAACACAGAGTAAAAACTCCAAGAATTGCTTTGGTAAACTTGCGTTTTTTAAAAAGTCATAGTAAATTTAATTTGCTATTGATAATTGCTTTAAAATATTGTACTAACTAGAAGAATATCAGCTAACTCTTATTAACTTAGTAACTTGAAATAAATTTTCTCCAACTTACCCAACCAAGGTTAGTTATTTATATGAAATATAAAATTCCCAAGGGCTTTATAATGAAATGTAATAATCTGTTACTGAACTATTGAACAGTTTTAGCTATTTTATATTCATATGTGCTTGTGCCAGCGTGGAAACCATGGTGTTGACATTTGCTGACTGAGCATGGTTGATAATGAGCATTCTTCAGTCCTTGGATTTCTGTATTCAAAAGGATAACTTTTGGGCCTGCTTCAAAGTAGTTGACATTTTTTTGGGTGCCAAGTTGGGTGGATTCTCTATCCCTTCTCCCCCTTTCAAAGGAAAATATTAAGTGGAATGAATATTCATACAACAAAATTAGTGTTCATTGGGGTCTCAGAGCTGTTGAACTTTTGGGGGGATGATTGGGTTTTAGCTAGTGACGCATGATTGCAGTTAGAAACTAAATTGTGTTAACTTTTTCTGCAATTATTAGCGTATTGAGTGAATTGCTTTATTTATCGATTGATTCAATGTTGAGCTCGGGCAGACAGGCAGCATTGGCAATACACTAAGCATATTGTGATCTAATGATCTGATAGAAATTCTCAACTTCAGGACAACTTGGAGGCTTTTTGTTTTTTTATGTTTTTTTTGTTTTGTTATGTTTTTGGAAGGAAGATTTCCCATTTGATTTATTAAACCATTAAGAAATGTTTGGTGTTTTAGGTCTAGCTGTATATGTTTACCTTTGTTTGCCTGTATGAATGCCAACTTGGAGCTATTACCATTAGAACTGGTGTTATTTGTTAATGTGTGAGACATTAATGCTGGTCTGACCAAGTTTTAGGAAATTAAATTTTTTTTGTTGGAAGCTGAGTTAAATATTTAAAAAACAAAGGTGTTTAAATCTATATATAACTTACCTTGACATTCCCAAATTGCATCATCTTTTTTTTTCTTTTTTTTTTTAAATATTATATTGCTTCTCTCTTTGAAGCATCCAGGTTCTTAATTGTTATTGCCAAACCTGGTAATGTAATTGAAAGAATTTACTGGTCTTAATTTTGGGGCAGTTCTGTCAGTTTGACCCTAATCTTTTGGGCATTTCACAGCCCCCCACCCCATTTCCCCTGCCCTCCCCCCCCCCCCCCCAAGATCTGTTATCCTCATGTGATCTGTATTGATATTGCAGGACATGGTTTTTTGCCTTAAACGAAATTATGATCTAGATAATTCCTCTTTGCTTCCTCCCCTCCCCCTTTAAAAATAGCTTGTTAATCACGCAGTTGTGTTAGAAAATCCAAATTGCCCAGCGATGAAAATCTTTAGGATTTTGTGTCCTCTTTAGAGATATTGAATAGGATGCTGTGGAGCTACTTGCTGTTACACAGATTCAGAGAACCCCTAGGGTAGAAGCACAGTGTTTTAACTTAGCTAAGACTCAAATTCTAAATGTTCTTGAACATTTTAGACTAGTGTTTTGTTTATGTAGTTGGTTTCTAGTGTTTTCTGTATTGTAGTTTGAAAAATGCCAGTTGTATGAGACTGGATTCTTTGGTCAGCTTGTTCCAGTAGTTTTCTATTAATTGGAAAACATAGTTTTGGGGGGCTTTGAGGTTGACTTTTCAAGTAAAATTTATTATTTTGAAAATTGTTCTGAATTTGATATTTAGGAGTGGCCACTCCAATCTTAGTGAATTTGCTCATCTCTTCCAGTAATCAGCCCTGCATGCTTATTAAAATAAATTTTAAGGTGACTAAATGCCTTCTACCTCTTCCTTACTGAAGATTTTTCCCCCCTGTATAATTTTTGGGGAGAGAAGGGCAGATTATGGTACTAAAGATTACAAATCCAAATTCCCCATTTTTGATTAAAAAATTAAAGAGACAAATGTCACCATTGCTATCCCTGTTTCAGGCAGTGACACATTATAGCGGCATTAAAAAACCTGAGTATTTTCCAGAATTCAAATGTTCTTGATCATGTGATTCTTATTTGGAAAACTGAGAAGCTCAGTGCTTGGTGGAAGAAGGATGGCATTTGGCTACCCTGTTCTTTCTCTAATGCCTCGGTGTTGCCTGTCTGCGCCGGCCATTGTTGCAATGTAAGCAATACTGTTTGATGCACTGCCACCCTCTATTGTCTGTTTAGTGTTTAGAATCTCCAGTGGGGAAGAGGAAAAGAAGCATGACTGTTAGTACTTCTCAGGACCCATCTTTCTCAGGATTAAACCAGGTCTGAAACTGTCTCCTATTCCAAACTCAATCCCAAATTCATGTGCTTTTCTTTTTTTATTGTTTTATTTTGATTATTTTTGTTTTGTTTTAATTCTGGAAAATGTAGATCTTTCTCAAGCACCTCTTACGTTGGCATTATTCAGACATACTTGGCAAACATAACATTACTAAGATGTTTCTTTGTGGCTTTCGCTTAAACTTCTAAAGTTTAGAGAAAACCTAATGAAAACAGGATTATGTTTAGATCTCTAACATCCATGTAAGGAAATAATACGTTAGTCTAGTATGGAAATTCTTTACTTGGTGATAAACTTGAAATAGACTTTTTAGTTTAAAAATGTATTTGGAGTTGCATAACTCAGTGCATGAAATACATCAGTACTGAATGGTGAATATATTATGCCTTAACTCTCTTCTCCTTCCCTAATGACCTTCAGGTAAGTATAGGTCAGATTTCAGTTCTACTGTTTCTAGAATTGATTTACCTCAGTAAGAACATATGCTCTGGAAATAGAAGACATTGCATTCTAACAATATAACAATAACATAATTAAACAATTGCCATTAATAACACACAAATTAAGTGAATGTATAATCTGATGATTTAGTGCAGGGGTCCTCAAACTTTTTAAACAGGGGGCCAGTTCACTGTCCCTCAGACGGTTGGAGGGCCGGACTATAGTTTAAAAAAAAACTATGAACAAATTCCTATGCACACTGCACATATCTTATTTTGAAGTAAAAAAAAAAAACAAAACGGGAACAAATACAATATTTGTATTTGCATGTGGCCCGCGGGGCGTAGTTTGAGGACCCCTGATTTAGTGTTTGGCAGTCTAGATAAACACCCTCATAATTTTCTAACTTTTTAAAACGTAAGCAGAACTCTTCACAATCTTTTACATTTGTAGATATTAAATATGTTTCTTACTGGATGAATTTTCAGACAAACAAGGGGAAATAGGTGGGTTTTTTTCTATTTAAATAATAGTTTTTTTAATCATAAAATTTAGGTAAATTTTGAAGCTCAAGAGCAAATGAGTCTATCAATTTAAGATACACTGAGAAGGAAGTATTGCCATGAGTAATTTAAAAAAGAAAGTTGTATTTTATATGTGAGCATATGTTGTAGTTCCTTAATTACCACATGCATCATCTGAGTGATATGTAATTTTTGTCCATACTACCCAGCATTATTTTAGGGGCCACCTTCTCTTGCTGTCACAAAGGTTTCATAAATTTACATTTATTTTTATTCATGGACAAAGAAGTAGTACCAACTGTGGTGACTAGGTTTGGTTGGGAAAAGAGGGAAGTGTTAAAAGTATGTGAGGCACATTGTAAGGCAAATTTGGTTCTCCTTTTTTACTTATTCATTAATTCACACATTTTACTTATATTTTGTACCATAATTATTTAATAATTTCCATTAATTTTTTTTGAATTGTTTATATTCTCTATAGATTAGCTGGGTTGTGAGGAAAAGTGACTTTGTTAAGTCTTTGGAGGGGCAGGGTAATGTGACCCCTGGTTAGGAGAAATTGATGCATATACTAAAAACTAAAATTGACAGTAGTGTTTCTGAAGAAAATGCACCTCTACTGAATAGAGTTATCCCAGTATATCCAACATTAACTCATTTCCACATGCCTTTGAAGAATCGTGCTGTATTCTTTAACACAGGAAGAAATTTTACTTAGAACATACATATTTTTAAAACCCACAGTTTTGCTTGACTCACCAAAGAGATTAGGCCTCTCTTTGCATATATAAACCTATAAAAATGCATTTTCTTATGACTTACTAAATACTGACTTCCTTGTTTGTTCTACCTTTACATATTTGCGGTTGTTTGTATCCTTGGTATCGGTTTCATGTATATACTTCCATTATATGTTTACATTCATTTTTAAATTCACAGCATAGAAAGCTACTAAAGATGCTTAATAGATCTCAGAAAATGATGAATTACCCAGAGATTTAAAAGCTTTTTTAAATTTTTAAGTAGTTTTTCTTTCAATTGTTTGCTCTTAAAATAGGATACCTTTGTTTGGCAGTGACATTACTTTTCCTGACTTAGATTTTACAAGAGAAATTTTTAAATTGATTTGCTTTGTAGTATTTTGTTTTGATACCAATGATTGAGATGTTTAAGAAGATAGTGTTTGAATGTTTTTTGTTTTCTTCATTACATTTCATCCTTTAGAGTTGTGGAAGGAAAAATACTCTAGTGAACAGTTACTCAAGCAGTCTTTTTAGTTGTGAGAAAGTGTGTGGTTATTGAATTGCACATCAGCTTCTGATTGTCGATTTAGACACGAATGAAGCTATCAGACATAATCATGTCAGAGATGTTCCTATTTTCTCTACTTTGAAGTAATGAACGAAGAAATCCTGGAAAATAGCCCTTAGAGGAGAGTCTGTGTTCTAATCCAGTGATGGCGAACCTTTTGAGCTCAGCGTGTCAACATTTTGAAAAACCCTAACTTAACTCTGATGCCGTGTCACATATAGAAATTTTTTGATCTTTGCAACCATAGTAAAACAAAGATTTATATTTTTGATATTTATTTTATATATTTAAATGCCATTTAACAAAGAAAAATCAACCAAAAAAATGAGTTCTGAAACTGTCTCCTATTCTCATAGGTTCACCATCACTGTTCTAATCACTTCTTATTCAAAATCCACATAATTCTTAGGGATATTTTTTAAATACTTTGAGGCTGGGTGTCCTTTTATGTTTATTTTTCCCTTGATTGATTTTCTATATGAATCTGGAGCTTAAGTCATAATTTCTGTTTTGCCTTTGAGAAATATTTTGCTCATTTTGATACTTGTGTACTAAACTGATATTCATATGAAGACAAACAGCATGAGTTTTTTTGTTTTATAACACTTTATATTTCTATAACTCAGTTGCTTAAGTTAGTATCTTTATAAGCGCTTTCTTTATTCAACTACATTTTACTAAAAATTTAATCTTCATTTTTTATAGTAGTAAATCAAATAAATATCACATTGTTAACATAGTTACAGAAGCTCAAACCTCATTGTCTTTTTGATCCAGCTTAAAGCTGAGACTAGGTTAACAGTGCCTGCCTGAAATAGGTATTTTTCATCCAACTAAGAGAAACACTTGGTCAGATCTTTTTCACTTAAATTAATAACTTGCTTTATTTTTTGACACAAACCCTAACAGACTAGGTAATCAGGTTTTCCAGCATATCACAAATTATAAACTGTGACAGAAGGAACCCCAATGTCAGCCTAATGGAAAAAAACTACAAAATTTAGGCATAACTAGTAAAGTGTAATAGTCTAGGGCAGCCATGGGCAAACTATGGCCGAATAAAACTAAAAAAAAAAAAAAAAAAAGACCGTACCCTTTTATGTAATGATGTTTACTTTGAATTTATATTAGTTCACACAAACACTCCATCCATGCTTTTGTTCCGGCCCTCCGGTCCAGTTTAAGAACTCATTGTGGCCCTCGAGTCAAAAAGTTTGCCCACCCCTGGTCTAGGGCCATGGTCGGCAAACTGCGGCTCGAGAGCCACATGCGGCTCTTTGGCCCCTTGAGTGTGGCTCTTCCTAAGCCTGAGGAGTACCCTAATTAAGTTAATAACAATGTACCTACCTATATAGTTTAAGTTTAAAAAATTTGGCTCTCAAAAGAAAATTCAATCGTTGTACCGTTGATATTTGGCTCTGTTGACTAATGAGTTTGCCGACCACTGGTCTAGGGCTATATTAGTGTAAGGGCATATAGACTTGCTTTGCTTAATAATCTTAATGTGATTTTATGATAAAAGTTACACTTTTAAGTAAATATTGTTTATTTTGCTTTAGAAGGTAGGTAAATGTGAACATATTTGGATTTTTTTGTCAAAAATAGTTTGGTTTGTTTTCTTTTAAAGGTGTTGTGTTTTGTTTCATTTTTAATATATTTTTTATTGATTTCAGAGCAGAAGGGAGAGGGAGAGAGACAGAAACATCAATGTTGAGAGAGAATCACCAACCGGCCGCCTCCTGCACGCTCCCCACTGGGGACTGAGCCCGCAACCTGGGCATGTGCCCTCAACCGGAATCAAACCCAGGACCCTTCAGTTTGCAGGCTGATGCTCTGTCCACTGAACCAACCAGCTAGGGCTCTTTTAAAGGTTTTAATTATGGGGAGTAAACGGCGAATTACTTAAAAATCAACATTATAAATGAGTATCTTAATCTCTTTGTACCATATATGAGAGAGCACTAAACTTTATTTTATAATACAATATTAGTTTGGTTTTTGGTTAGGTTATCTAAACTGCTGATTGTAAGCCACCTTGATATTAAGTACTTTTTTTTTAAAGATTTTAGGTCAACTTGTTATAGTTTCTAGAAGTTTAACCTGATCACATGCATAAATGTCACTTCATGTAGTAGAATGTAATGCATGCTTGTTTAAAAAATGCTTATTTTTTGTTAATAAAAATCTTGGGTTTTCTTGTTAATATCAAACTTTGAGAGCTGTCTTGTTTACCAATAGTAACTGGATATCGGGTTCCATTATGGCACACAGCACACAGGCTTCTGGGTGTGGAGTGAACTGAGCCTGTGAAATTGTTCAGTTGACAGAATCAAACACTTGACCTAACTATCTTTTTAAACTTGATTTATTAATGAGGACTAATAAAAGCTTATTGGAGTGTTACGTTTGTTCATGATATCTGTTCTACTTATGATACTTTGATGTATTTGAACAAAGAAAGTAGATGCCATTTAATGAATAAAATAGTTTAATTGAACAAGGTGGAAACCTAATAATGTCTTTTTATTTTCTTTTAAAGTTATTCCTTATTGATTTTGGTTTGGCCAAAAAGTACAGAGACAACAGGACAAGGCAACACATACCATACAGAGAAGATAAAAATCTCACTGGCACTGCCCGATATGCTAGCATCAATGCACATCTTGGTATTGAACAGAGGTGAGTTTGACAGTTGAAAGTGTTAATAAAATTCATAGCAAAAGCCATTGATGTATTTTTTTTTAATATTTCAGTTAGTTTCTTACAGTATCTAAAGATATCTCTTGGCTGAGTATTTGAAGGGTGCTTATTAAATCTTTTACTTGCTGCTTTAGCCAGTGCAGAGAAGCCAATTAAATGAGGCCTTTTTGTTTTCTTTGTTGAAGGTCATCCCTTGGGAAGAAAAATACTGCATGGTGAAAAGTTATATGCATAAATGCAATTTTATCATGATGTTTATATTTGCAGCTGAAGATAGTACTCATTTTCTTAATACTGATCTTGAGCTTTTATATTTTAGTGATACAAGTTGAGTTTTGGGGAAGACTATAAGTTATTTTTACAAGGAAAATGTTATCTGAGTCTAATGAACCAAAAGGGATTGGTGGATCATCTTCTGTCCTACTCTTGCATACCATAAATTAATAGCATCTAGTTTGAATAAATCTTCATAATCTCTGCTGTTTCTTGGCTTGAGTTCTAGGTTTTCATGTTCTCCATCTTTTATAAATCATTTTTTGCTCCTTAAACCAAGCTTAGAAAATACCCATGAATATCTGAATACCCTGGGTTAAACTGATTTCACATTTTCTATAGGTCAAAGTATTACCAGTTCTTAAATATATAGATCTGTCTGAATGTATGTATGTATGTATGTATGTATGTATGTGATAGTTGAGCCTTGAACAAGTCAGGTTTGAACTGCTCTGGGTCTGGTCTGTTGAATGTGGTCAATTGAAAGAAGTCTGCATATAAGTGTAGCCTTGCATTTCAAACCTGTGTTGTTCAAGGGTTGAGAGAAAGAGAGAGAGATCATATAGATGTTTAATTAGGTTTACATTAATTTATTTCAACCTCGATAAAGTTATGAGGTTCTGCAAAACTTAACAAGAGTTCTGCTCTTTGGTTTGGAAAGTTGTTTAGCTAAATCCTTTTTGCTCTTTTCTAAAAATTACGTTGCAAGGCAATGTTAGATTTTGCAATCTGGGATTCTATGAGTTTTATTTAGAAGTAACCCATTAATGAACGTTTTTATTACCTTAACTATGTACCTTCTTGTACAAGACACCAAATTGCTCTCTCCTCACTTGACAAAATTCTTCTGTGTACCTGGCTTTCTTTCACGTTTTTCATAATAATTTCAGCTTATAAATTTACATTTTCTTTTCTAGTCGCCGGGACGACATGGAATCATTAGGATATGTTTTGATGTATTTTAATAGAACCAGCCTGCCATGGCAAGGATTAAAGGTAAACCAGACTCAAATGACCAGTTTTTGTTTTTTAATTTATCTTTATTTTTGAAAGTATTACAGATGTTACCCTTTTATTCCCCTCTCCACCCCACACCCCCTCTTTTGTTTTAAGAGTAAAAATAATATTGGGGATGAACTTTAAGTCTCTTTCAAATAGGAGGTGTTCTAAAATGGAATTACTTTATTTTTACTTTTTATTGGGAAATAAAATCTGATCATTTCAGTAAGAATAAGCTAATAGAATCCCACATTCATACCTGAAGAACACACATTTTTGGGAGACAGGAAGCCAGGTACCCATTGGCAACCAGAAGCTTTATCTGGATAGAAGTTAACATGGGCTAAGAAATTAGGTGGAGGCCATTATACTTTTGTGTACAGTAAAACTGGTTTAGCCAGCAATACTAGCTGTATTATTTAATTATCCTAACATTTCTTTTGTGTGTATTAATGATAAATATCTGTGTCTTAGAATTGAATGGCTATGTTATATGTTAATATTTTATTCATCCTTTAAAGGAAAATGGTGTCTGTATTTTTTTTTAATTATCTGTGAGACTAGGAGCTTGTTTTGTATTTATGTGTGAGTAGCTTTATTCATTATTAATATTTTTCATTGGAAAGGTATTTTGACTTAGCACCAGTTATTTTTATATATTTTTATTGCTTTTTTTTTTTTTCTTCTTTTTAAGAGGAAGGGAGAGGGATAGAGAGATAGAAACATCAATGAGAGAGACATCATTGATCGGCTGCCCCTGCCATGCCTCCCACAGGGATCAAGCCTGCAACCCAGGCATAGGCCCTGACCGGGAATTGAACCGATGGCCTCTTGGTTCCTGGTTCGATGCTCAACCGCTGAGCTACACTGGCCGGGTGGCACGAGTTATTAATGTCACTAAATGATGGGCTCATTTTTTTGTGTTGATTTGCTTATATCTTTGCTCTTGTGTTGACTATGGGTTAAGAAAATTTCAAATTTGACCACCCATGTTTTATTTAAATCATATATATCTTCATGTTCCTGTTAGACTCACCCTCTCTTAATAGCTAAAAATGTTATTGAAATAGAAACCCATATAGAAATTAACAATTTGGCGGGGGTGGGGAACTTAAATATGTTGTACTTTGGGGTTTGTTTAAATCTAGTTTATGTTCTCTTGAATCTTAAGTTTACATTTGTGTCTAGTATGTTAAACTAATAAGGATCTCAGTAACACTGAACATGTCTGTGTGGTTTGATTCTTTTCCACAGGCTGCAACAAAGAAACAAAAATATGAAAAAATTAGTGAAAAGAAGATGTCCACTCCTGTGGAAGTTTTATGTAAGGTAGGTGTACATGCTTGATTTTGTTTTTAATATAAATGATCCACGAACAAAAAGAAACACTTTTCTTGCCATCTCTGGAACTTAAACATCGTTTTAGGAGCTAGCCATTTGCCATTAAGTGTGTGTTTTACTGTTTCTGATTTCTTTGAGCTCTGTCATCTGTTAAAAATTATAGGGAAAATAAGAGAACAGGCAAACTTTTCTAATGGAGCCTCACTAATTTATGAGAGATATTACATTTTAAAATATTCTAAATTAAAAAAGGACATCGACAGTTGGTACAAAAGGAGTAGGGAAACAAAGGCTAGCAGATCAGAACAAAATAAAATAGTACATGTGTGACAATATAGATGACTGAATCAGGCTTATTTCTCTGAAATCTCAAACTTTGTAGAGAAGCACGTGAGTTTAGAATGGAAAGATGTTCTGTGGGAAACCATGGCTAACATGAAAGAAGACCACATGATTGTCTTTTAGACTGTTGAATACCTGAAATAATGAGAAAATAGTATGTAATTACATAATTGGGTGATAGAAAGTAGAAATCAGCATGAGTTGAAATAGTACTCTGGAGGGGATAATTGGTGATATCTTTATGTGTCTCCCCATTCACACATTTGTTTTCCCCTTTTATACATATCCTATATAGTAAAGGGTAATATGCAAATCGACCAAAAGGCGGAATGACCGGTCGCTATGACACAACACTGACCACCAAGGAGCAGATACTCAATGCAGGAGCTGCCCCTTTGTGGTCAGTGCGCTCCCACAGTTGGAGCACTGCTCAGCCACAAGCCAGCTGATTGCTGATGGCTGGTGAGCACAGCGGCCCGCCTCCGCAGCAACACGAGGGCACCCGGACGGGCTAAGGGACACACACACACACACACACACACACACACACAGTGCACGAATGTCATGCCTGGTGGAGTGGGAGACTATGATCTTTTCTGAGACACCTTGGGATTCATTGTTTCAAATAATGAAATAAATTTATTTATTTATTTATTTACTTTACTGACCTCTGGCTGTGTAGGACTGGCCAGGGCTGTCCCATCCAGCCAGGTCCTCCCCAGACAGCAAACCAGCATCCCTCTGCCTCACCTTTAATCGTACAGTCTTATGTCTCATTCCTTTGCTCTCCACTTTCAAAGAGGCATCTGACATTGTGCCCTAAGGAGTAATTTTTGTCCAAGGACTAAGAATTTGGCAGATGGAGGAGGGAGGGCATGCAAAGTTGCCCCTAAAATTTTTTTATTTTACTTTATTGATTTTTTTACAGAGAAGAAGGGAGAGGGATAGAGTTAGAAACATCGATTAGCTGCCTCCTGCACGCCCCCCAGTGGGGATGTGCCCGCAACCAAGGTACATGCCCTTGACCGGAATCGAACCTGGGACCCTTCAGTCCGCAGGCTGATGGTCTATCCACTGAGCCAAACCAGTTAGGGCAATTATGAAATATATTTTAGGTTAATAAGTAAAACGTTATGTTGTAATTCACCCAGATAACTTAAAAACCTATATGCTTCAAGAAGCAAAACATATTTTCTATAGACTACATTTCCATGGAACAGAAAGATTCATTTGTCTCATTAGAAAAGTCAGCCATTTTTCCGGAAGAGAAAGGATTATAACAGTCTCTACGTGTGGACTACATCTTAATTTTGGTGTAGAAATTGTGGGCTATGACTGTCTTTTAGATTAGCCACATACAGTTGATTCAGTGTGTAGTAAATACAGAAGTATTAGGTATTACTATAAAATAGTGAGAATGTTTTAAATCTGGTTAAGAGTTTAAAAACAAAGATGTATAATATATTCATGACTTTATTTTCAGATGTTCACCCTAGAAAATAAAATAGCATAAAAGTACTTTGTAAAACTTAAAACTGTTTATATCAATACAATCATTAAAAATAAATGTTGCAAATAAATCCATTCTATCCTGCCTTGTTCTAGATGTGAGAAATTCATTGAAATCGTAAGGTTGTGCGAAGAGACTTTTAACTTACCTCCCTTCACTTTCACATTTACTGAAGGAGAGGAGATGTAGGGATTTTTGTTATTTTAATGCTTTGCACATTTACATTCTTGATGGCAAAATACTTTTGATGACTAATATCTACAGCCTTAAATGTTTATAAACATCTTTGAGAATCTTCCTTAGGAAATTGAACATGGAAAAAGTTTATGCCCACAGATGTGATTATTAGTATTGTTTATTAAAAAAAAGTTGGGCTCCCCTAAATGTCTAGTTAAAGGGTACAAGTTAATTATGATGTATTCGTAAGGTCTGCTGTTATGCAGCCAACACAGAGGTTTATGAAGCAGTTGGAAATAACAAAAGGGTGCTTGCAATATAATGTTAATGGGGAAAAAATATTTCTCTACCAGTATTAAATGATAAAGTAATAATAAGGTGGTCAAGATGGTAAACTTTTGTTAATTTTATGAGGATACCAAATCAGTTATTTTACTTTCAGATCATCCAATAAAGTAGTAAACCCCCTCCTCAAATACATATTTTGCTTGTATTCAAATGCATTGATTTTTCTATCTTGAAATAAGTTGTTTTGTTTTTGTTTTTTTTAACTTTTTCTTTTACTCTTGAACTTACAGGGGTTTCCTGCAGAATTTGCCATGTACTTAAACTATTGTCGTGGGCTGCGCTTTGAGGAAGCCCCAGATTACATGTATCTGAGGCAGCTATTTCGCATTCTTTTCAGGTCAGTTTTTAAAGTGTTTAAGACTCTAAAGTCCAGTGAAGGGGGATTAGTTAAATTTACTCAACATATCTATTCTGACAAGTGGAAAATTAAAGTGGGCCCAACCAACATGAGTAAAATTTTAAGAAATTGATTTTGTTTGGCTTTTTACCACTTGTAGTATTAATGTACTTGAAATTATTTTAGTTTGGGATGGATAAACAGTTGAATCAAGCTCAAAGTAGAATCAAACTTTTCCACAATATTTGCATTTTACATTACATCTTAGTGACATTGGTGGCCCATGGAAGTCTCCAACTTTGGTACAGGACCTTATTCAATACCAAAATGAAAAGCAATTAAAATATCAGTCATAGAGTGTTTGGTAGCGTGGAGGCAGGCCAAATTCTAGGATTCCCTTGGTGCAACCCAGAATTGGTCTTGAAGAGGGGAGGGGTGAGATAAAGTACACGGGGTTGGATTTCATAAGAATTGGAGGTAATCCTCTAACCCCAGAAAAGTCTTCCCAAGCCACTAGCATAGATCTCTCTCTTACAAACTTAGAGTCCCATTCCTGCTCTATTTGTTTTCAGCAGTACCTCCTTGTTATGATTATTCCCACAAGATAATTGACAGTGTTTTTGCTATCCATGCTGCCTTCCATTCCCACCCTCTTGCCCCTTTTAAGAAAGTTTAAAGGCAGCTTTTTTTTAACAGTAGAGGATTTATTATCAAATATAGCAGACCAAATGTGGTGACATCATTTTCCTCCCACTTTATCCTGACATTTATAAAGTGAGAATTAATTAAATGAATGGTTAAAAAAATCAGTAGGGAAAGAAATCTTTTGGAAGTTATCACCCTTAAGAGAAAATACTCAATTCCTTAAAAAAATGCCCTGTCTTGAAAGTTCAGTTGTGTATTAAACTAGAGTCTTATTGAAGAATTAACATGTAATTTTATATTTTCCAGAACCCTGAACCACCAATATGACTACACATTTGATTGGACAATGTTAAAGCAGAAAGCAGCACAGCAGGCAGCCTCTTCAAGTGGGCAGGGTCAACAGGCCCAAACCCCCACAGGCAAGCAAACTGACAAAACCAAGAGTAACATGAAAGGTTAGTAGCCAAGAACCAAGTGACGTTACAGGGAAAAAAATTGAACACAAAATTGGGTAATTCATTCATTTCTAACAGTGTTAGATCGAGGAGGTGGTTTTAAAATACATAAAAATTTGGCTTTGTTTAAAAAAAAAAACAAAAAACGTCCTTGGAAAATTTGACTACTAACTTTAAACCCAAATGTCCTTGTTCATATATACATGTATATGTATTTGTACATACATATATGTGTGTATATTGTATCATTTCCTCTTGGGATTTTGGGTCATTTTTAACAGCTGCATCTTTTTTACTCATTCATTAACTCTTTCCAAAATAAACATTTGGTGTTGGGAATATGGTATAGTCAATAAATCCAAAATCCTAGACCTAACACTTGTTGATTTTTAATAATGAAGCTGGTTAGCCATGATGTCTTGACTTTCTTTCAGACTAACAGTGTTAAGAATTTTTTCTGCATGTTAATGCTTTAGCATTTAAAATGGAATATTGTGAACACGATCTGATTTCAAGAGGTGAGTCTGAGTTTGGCATTGCCCCAAAGTGTCTATCTTCTCAGTTGTAGAGCATCTAGTTTAAGCTCTTAAATGCTGAAATAACTGAAAAGCTCGACACATAAATCTCTTAGCTAATATTTACCTACATGTGTTCTTTAATTTCCAAATGATCTTTTGCTTTTGGCTTTATTTTTTTTTTTTTTAAATCATGCTAATATTCAACATCTAGGAGTCCGATGTGGAATTGAATTCTGCAGTTAGGCCTTGCAAATTGAAAAAAAAAAAAAAAAAAACTGGGGCAAATGCCATTGAACTGCTAGTCTGTTTCTGTCTTTCTCCAGCACTCTTGGTGCTATAGGAGTAGAACTGTTAGGATACAGCTCCATTTCTTATTGCTGTTGTCATACAGTTCAACTCCTGTGTTTCGTGCTTTTTGTTTGTTTTTCCCCCCTTTCTAGGGCTTACCTCCTAATACCTGCCTACTTTCTAGAAGTAGTGGGCAGGTAAAGTTTGGTTTGGGGGCTTTAATTATTTAATTTCTGAATGACTGCTCTAGTCTGAACTTGGTCTTCTTTGATCCATATTTTTAGTGTTGTGCTTAAACTATTTTGTAATAAAAAAAATAGGCTCTACTCTGAGGATACTTTATAAGAAGTATAATTAACTGATGTCATCCTCATCCCAGCAGCTCATCTATTAGGAATGAAGTAGAGATGCTTCCGTAATGGTCAGGATTCACAGTTGAAGTTTTAATGTAGTGAGGGTTCTTAGACAATGAAATTTCAGCTCAGGATAGCAAACACTAATGCTTGCCCAGTGTTCTGCCTGTGCATCTCACTTGGGACTTAATTGCCCCTTTTGAGTGTTTTAATCATTGTATAACTAATCATAGCACCAAAATATAGAAGAAATGCTACTGTTTAGGTAAGACAACCTAGAGTCTCTAAACTGAGGCCTTGGTACATCTGACACCTATAGTATATTAGCTTTTTATCACAAACTGAAACCAATTTTTGCCTAAAGCTAGCTGGGATAATAGGATCATCATGATTTGCAGTTTCTAGAACTAAAATTAGATTGAAATAGCAGCTGACCTAGAACATTTCACTTCAGGCATTCAGCAGCCTTCAGAAAGAATTATACCTTATTTTGAGCTAGTTTCATTGTTAGTTTACTGTGTATTTCTTACTCGATAAACAAGTAAAATTTTTGTCCTGCCCTGCCCTATCCAGGTCTTAAAGATGAGCAGTTGGATCCACTAAGTTAGTATATTTCCTTGGGAAAAAAATTAAACTTAAGTTTAATCCTTACTTTGTAGCTATTTTTTTTTATAAAAAACAACTTAAAATCTTATAAAAATCTTATAGCATTATTAGACACAGGTTATACGAATTGTTACATTAAAATGGACTTTGCTTAAAACACATCACATGTCATTGACTACTTTCAGAGATGCATGTCCATGCGGTATAATTTGACCCCAAGCAAAATATTGCTTGCAACTAAAATGTGCCATCCCACAGAATACACACAACAAAATTCTTTTTGATCTTTGACTTCTTGAAAACATTTATTTTGGATATAGAACTTAGTGCCCCAGCAAATTTTACACAAAACAGGGTTTTTAATGGGTTTGAAGGTGGCTTGAAATGAGTAAGGGGAGCCAATTCCCCTAACCTTAACCCCGGCCATTTCTGGGTGATCCATCCATTAAGAAATTGTTGAAGTATGGAGTTTGAAAGTCGGTCTACTTATTCCCGATTCCAATCTCTAGTTTGGGGGAGAATGAGAAAGAAACATCAATTGGCCGCCTCCACACACGCCCTAACCAGGGATTGAACCTGCTACCTAGGTTATGTGCCCTGACCGGGAATCAAACCCGAGACCCTTCCGTGCACGGATGATGTTCCAACCAACTGAGCCACACTGGCCAGGACTAGAAGGTGCTTTTCAAATACATCCTGTCGATTTGTTATGCACGGAGTTATATTTTCAGAGTTTTCCACATCAGAATTTAGTTTCTTAAATGAATCTTCAGCAAGTAGAACTTTGTATCACAGGAATATCTATTCCTGGAAAAATCTCCCAAATGGTGGCATTCACTAATATATTTTATGTGATTATTTTTATTTTTGAAAAATCTATATCTAATGTTTCTTCATAGAAAGCTATAATGACTTGTTTTAGCAATTCACTTAAAAATGTCCAAAGACTTGTAAAAGTCTGAATTCAGCTAAGAAAGGTTTATTATATGTAATAGGCTTCTATCCTAATTACTTTTCTAAAGAAAAGATCTTTTGAAATGTTCCATTCCAAAGCCCATCAAAAGAATGATATAAGAAACAAGTGTTTCTCCTAATGCCTACTGTGCTCTGTACTAGTTTTCAGTGCTCAGGTATCACATGATTATAATTATTGTTTTTATACATGTTAAAGAGAAAAAGAAAAATTCACTCCTGATACACTTCCTCCAAGTACTTTTCAAGACATTTAAAAAGTAAAGGAAAAGGAAATATTTTTAAGATATTACCAATCCAATTAAGTTGCTCATTTCTTTAGTTAAGGGCAGAGATGGGAGAATTTCAGAAGGTAATAAACCAAAGGTTGATCCTCACATAAGTCTACTGCTCTTATCACCTTAACCCATCTATCAATCAGTTCACTACTCCAGCCATCAGTACTAAGCGTAGTTTTGTCATAAGTACTTGGATGTCAAATTGTTGGCATTCAAGAGATTAGTAATGGTTTTTCATCACATTATCCTACCATATCCATGGTCTTCCTTGAATTACCTTCCAGTATTTACTGGGCTTCACCTACCATTTATGTCTAGCTTAACTTTTTCTGACTTCACCAATTGCTGCTAGGAACGTGGCTGGTCACTTAGCAACGTAACCCAAATCACAGGGGAAGACCTTGAAATATCTGGAGCGACTGGTGTGCTCTGAATACACTCAGTGCAAGGAAGTACCCGGGAGCTGCATCTGCTTGCTGAAATTTTTGTCAGCTTTTTTCACTGTGGAACAATAAACCTGGAGAGAAGAGAACTAAAGCAAATGAACAGGAAATGAAGATGAGTGTGCAAGAGTTGATTTGTGATGATTTGAAGCCCACATCTTCAAGGCTTGCCGGACCTGTCAAACTTTGCATCCTGTCAGATTGTCTGGATGATACAGCCATTCAGAAGACCCAGAAGAGTACAGTGTCACTGTGACTCAGTGGTGTATAATGCAGACCATCTACCATTTGGGGAAGGAATCAATTGTAACAGGTATTTTAAAATTCTGCAAACTCAGAGATCTGTAGCAGAATGAATTCTGTGACAGGAAAGACAAGAAATCAGATCATCAGTCTGTTTTTTAATGCAGTTTAGGGATGATGTATACTTGGTATACTTAAGTTGTCATTTATCTTATTTGCAGTGATAAAAATAAAATCTTTTTCCTTTATCTTTCCTAATATAATGCTTTTCTGTGGAGAAGGAAGAGCTATTATAGGTTCTTTAATTTTTTCTTTAACTTTTATACTGCCAATCTGCTTCAGATTCTGTCAGCTTGATTCTGTGTGACCAAAAAAAGAAAACCACATAAGCACGTTATAGGAAAAGTTAATTAATATAAATGACATTACATAGTAATGAATATGAATATTATATTTAAAAAATTTTTAAAGTTAATGTCTTATACTGTGAAAGGATTTTAAAAGCCCATCATAAACTTTTAAGCCTTACTATAATTGCATAAAAATCCTTTTGAACTAGTTTGTGGTTCTATAAAAAATTTTCAGGGACATCTGAATTTAATTCACAAATAGGAGCAGATACATACTTTTCATATTGAGGGATAGAATCTCCTGGTTAGTTATATAAAAATAAACATTTTTTTTTCACAGATTTAAAAAGAAACTTAAATATAGCTATTAACTCTTGAATCTGTCTCAGTAACCCTCCAAACCTGTTTTAACTTTTCTTTCCCCTCTTTTTTTAGGAACAAAGGCACCCATTTTTTATTTTAACTGTTGTTGCAGTGAAGATGAGTTTGAACTTTGAGAAACCTGGAGATGCCACCTAAACTACAAGATCAAAACCAAGCACACTGGGGAAAAGAATGCTTAGTACTTGAAGATGGAATGTCGGATACCTCCTGGATGCTCCTATTGAGTTGTTGTTGTTTTTTTTCTGAACAAACTTTAGTAACATCTTAGGACAATTCACTGGAGAAACATTGATCCCTGGGCGGAGTGTCCTACCTACTACCGGCTAACCTGAAGAGTTCAATCTGGATTTGACTGTTGTATTGTACCAGGAATATTGTTAGGCTAGCCTTTAACCAATCCATAACAATTGTAATCATTAATTGACCTAGCAGTTCTTCAAATCATATTAAAAGATGAACAGATAAAATTCTTACCTAGATATAATTTTTATCCCTGTTAAAAACACGAGTTTTTTTCATATTTTGCCTCCAATGTAACATATTTCCCTTTTAGTTTGTTAGTGACTATGGTTTCCATTTAAAGCTTTTTAAATATTCAACATAGTAATTATTCAATATAATTATGTAAGCAAGCTATGATAAAAGAAAACCCAATATTCATAGTTGTGAAAACTTTTTTTGTGGCATTTAAGAATAATTGCAGTACTTTAAATCAAATGCTCATCACAAAAAAGGTCATTTTATTTCACTAATCCATACATAGTTTTAATTTGCTTTAAAATACTCTGTATTTTAAAATTGGTATTAGATTACAGAATATGGTCAGATTTTTAAATCAGGTTTGATTTGGTAGCCTTTCTTTTTTAATGGCTTACTTTGGTAATCCTATCAATAATATATACCAGGTAATGATATTCCTTGTGGTAAAGTACATTTTCAGAAAGTTTCTTTTATTTTTGGCATTTGCTTTATGAACATAGTACTTGGGACAGGCAATAAAGATCTGTTTGTTCCTAGCCTTGTTTTAGGCACTATGGAGAGACAAGGAAGTGTAGCACTGACATCTTGTCCTCAGGGCGTAGCACAGTATTTTTATTAAATGAATGAAGATGACTTTCTGACTTCAGACAAAAGACAAACTCCTAGTTAGCAAGTGAGAGAATATTTCAAAAAAGGAGCAGTTTGTGATTGACAGAAACATGGTTTGTGCTAAGGAAGTGAGAGATCAAATAGATCTGACTATAAGGGTAACATGCCTTTACGTGTAGCCCAGTAAGCATGTCAAACATGTGGGCCACCAGCCGCGAGTTTCACATGCTTGCCCTAGAGCAGTGATGGTGAACCTTTTGAGCTCGGCGTGTCAGCATTTTGAAAAACCCTAACTTATTTTTTATATTTATTTTATATATTTAAATGCCATTTAACAAAGAAAAATCAACCAAAAAATGAGTTCGCGTGTCATAGGTTTGCCATCACTGCCCTAGAGTCTAATTGTGGCTGAGGGGAGTGTTTGTAGGGTGGGAAGGCATGAGAAGTAAATAAAGCCAAAAGAGCAACCTATCTACATTTTCAAATCAGAGACAAAAACCTAGCCTTTTTAATGCAACTGATGGAGATAAAAAAATTTTGAGTCTAAAGTTTCTTTAAAAAAAACCATATTCAGTTTTGTGTTCAGTGGAATAACTTAAATAATTATGCCTTGAATACATTTATTAAAACTTATTGTTCCTTATTTGTATCAGAAATAATGTGCAGAAAAATCCTACTCATACATAGTATGATTAAAACTATACTTTCCATTTGTTAGGACAATCTGTTTTCCATCTATTTGACAAATAGTTGTAAACAATATGTTCTAGGTACTAGAAACACAGAAATAAAATAAAAAAAAACCAGGCTTATAGGAATTACCATTATTTCTGTAGCTTGAGGATTGTATGCTGATTGGGAGGCTTTAAGTCACTGCACACTATTCCTACCTAGAAATATCCAGAACAAAAACGTTTCTTATTTTTCTGTTTTGTTTTTTTAAAAAAAAAAAGCTCATGATTTTCAAATAGATAAAAATCAACAGTCACAATTCTAAAGTAATCATTGGCTCAGATCTAACTAATTTCCTTAATTTGGGTGTGGCTTAAGAATTTTTTTTAACTTGGAATTTTAACCTTTTATTCCTGTTTTACTTATTTATTTATTTTTTTTACAGGTTTCTAAGCATGAATCAAGGAACAGAAGAAGCAGTGCAGATGATCGGAGCAGCATTTGTTTCTCCCAAAATCTAGAAATTTTAGTTCATATGTACACTAGCCAGTGGTTGTGGACAACCATTTACTTGGTGTAAAGAACTTAATTTCAGTATAAACTGGCTCTGGGCAGCATTGGTGATGCTGTGTCCCGAGTTGTAGCCGCTGTAATTGTGAATATTAACTGAGATAGTGAAACATGGTGTCCAGTTTTCTATTGCATTTTTTCAAGTGGAAAAGTTAACTAAATGGTTGACACCACAAATTGGTGGAGAAATTGTGCATATGCCAATTTTTTGTTAAAATCTTTTTCTTTGAACTATACTGCTTTGAGATCTCATTTCAGAAGAACGGCATGAACAGTCTTCAGCCACAGTTGTGATGGTTGTAAATGCTCACAATTGTGCATTCTTAGGGTTTATCCACCCCTGGGGTTTGCAAGTTGTTCACTTAAAACATTCTTAAAATGGTTGGCTTCTTGTTTGCAAGCCAGCTGATAACGGTAGCAACCAAAGATTCCAGTGTTTGAGCATATGAAAGACTGCCTGCTTACCTGTGCTAGAAATAACAGCATCTAAAGTGAAGACTTAAGAAAAACTTAGTGACTACTAGATTATCCTTAGGACTCTGCATTAACTCTATAATGTTCTTGGTATTAAAAAAAAAAGCATATTTGTCACAGAAATTTAGTTAACATCTTAAAACTGAATATGTATGTATGTTGCTTAGATAAATGTAATCACTGTAAACATCTATATGATCTGGGATTTTGTTTTTATTTTGAAATGGGAGCTTTTTGTTTACAAGTTCATTAAAAACTAAAAACTGTTTCTGTAAGGAAATGAGGGTTGTTTTTTTAAACAACAAAAATGCCTTGCTGAGTCACTATGAAATCAAAATCTCCCCAATTTTTTAATAGACTACTTCAAGCCATTTGTTACATAAAACTCCTTTGTAAATCATTTTAGGTTTAGTGTTAAAACTGTTACTCAAATTAAACTTTTGGTCTGGAGGAGAAAGGCATTCTTTTTTTTTTTTTTTTTTTTTAATGACTTGCAGGCACAAATACCTAGTGCTGCAACTGCTAGGACTTGGTTATTGTAACTCCAGCAGCCTCAGACTAACAGCTGGACTGATTTTGAATAAATGAAAGCATTAAAGGGTTTAACTGCAGAATGAAGTTTTTCTTTAAATTTTTTGTTAATTGGCTCTGAACAGATTGACTCTTAACCTTGGAGAACACACCATGTGAGATTAATGTGATCATTGACCCTCCCTAACCCACTCATTTTCTGTAAGTTTTCTGCACTTGTCTCAATCTTATATGCGGCTCTTTTCTTTTTCAGACCCAAGAGAAAGATTAGTTGACTTTTTTTTAACTGTAATTTATTCATTTAGAGCATGTCAGAATAAATTTAAAAGTACTTTCGTCTGAAAATGCTGCCTATTGTGTAAAAAAAATGTAGGTGTTTTGTAAAATAATCTTGAAATTGTAAATTGACACTAGTTTGGTCAGATTGTGTCAAGCTTAATTTTTCTTTTTTATTTCAAAACTACTTTAGCAATAATTCCGTGATTACTACATATATTAGCACCATCATACTGCAGAAATCATGAGTATGAACTTGTGGGGTAGGCAGCTTCGCTTCTTTTCTATCCACCCATGTCAGTTAAGGTATTTGTTTCTTGACTAATAAACCCTTTGAAACTTTTAGCCAGAAATCAGTCTCATAAAGCTATTTTTGAGTATAGCTTGTGTAAAATAAAAATGTTTAGCTTTGGTAATAACTTTTCCAAGCTGAACTCCCTCTAGCAAGATATTTTTCAGTGCTTTTATTTACTATGCACTTAGACTATGCACTTTTTCTGAAATATTTTTGTAACACTTTTTTGTATTTTTGCCATTTGAAAAGGTTGTGGTGTAGTTGGTCTGTAATTAAGTTGCAGATTTATAACTGCTGTTAGCTTTGTAAATCAAAATATAGGTGTTTTTGTCCTGGTATATCGTCATTCCATCTGCAGCTGGAGCTGGAATCCCATTGATCTTCTAGCTACCATTCATTTTCTTCTCAGTTCACAAAAGAAGAATTTGAAACTCAGTGAATGCTGTTTACTAATCCTGTTGGGAGATGAATCTCATTCCACCAAAATTAAATTATGTTTTTCCACTAAAATGATGATACAAGTTGAAGACACATCACTGAAATTGGAAGACCTCACCACTTAAGGCTCCACAATGGCTCACTCAGCTGAACTCTAGGTTACTACTATTTACTTTGTTCACCCATTGGGGGTGGGGGGTTACAGGTTTTTTTTAATGTTGGGAGATGGCCATTCTAACTACTGTTGAATGTCTCTGTTTTGGGAAGGTATAACAAGAAAATAAAAAAATATATATGAAGGGAGAGACTGGTTATCTCCTCCCCATATGGTTGTGCTCATGCTCCTAAGGCTTACAAGTAGAATCTTGGGGGCAGGGGGGTTGCTTTTATTATATTTTATCAACAAGTATTAAGAGATATTTTTATCTCTACCAATCCTTGCAGTACTATTTAATGTTTTAAACAGAGTATACTGTAACAATTACAAACTTAATTTCATTACAATAAAAGAGAACAAACAAGGATTTTTAAAACCCGAGCCAATGAGCTAGTTTTCCCTGATGTTTGCTGAACCAGCTATCAAGAATAAGTTCTTATGCCTTGTCTAGAGTGAACCATGAGAATTTCAAGAAGGGGTGGCCTAGACGCTTTCAGCTCAGCTCCTGCAAAATTCAGCAGTCTGCAGTGGTATCTCAGATGTGCTCTTCCCTTTAAAGTAGACTTGTGAGACCACTTTTCTTTCATCGCAGTTCTATTGCTCACAACATTTTGGGGATTAACTCCCAAAACAAATTTCTCCACTTCCTCCTTAGAATGTATTTAATAATGACAAACTTTTTAGTCTTTTTATCTGGAAAGGCTAGAGATGGTGAATCAAGTATAAGTTTAATCAGGCTATACATTCTGTATTTAATCATCACCAGTATATAATTGAAGTAAAAGGATTGTTTTCTGAAATGAGGATACTGTATATGCAAAAATGTAATGAAAATATTGAGCAGTATCAGAGCTATTTGAGTAATTGTAAGACACATTTCAAGTTGTTGATCAAATGCCTTTTATGTTGATGGACACTGGACCCACAGTGGCTGGAATTCTGTGGTACTGAGATTCAGCAAGTTTGAGAGACCTGAGAATTCCCACTTAATTTTTTGGTTTGTTCTCTGCTCCTTTTCAGCCTGGTGGGGTGCACGGGTTCAGTCTACCTTTTATCTTTGTCTAACCAGATCCCTTGAAGATGATGTTTGTGGTACCCCTGTTGTCTCCCATGTACAATCAAAATAATGAAGAAATGTTTGTAATATTGGTTGCTTTAAGAATTGGGAGCAGTGATGAGTTAATTGGTGTCCGTACTACCCCAAGAACTGGGTCAGAGCACCTGATGCATTGGGTGATTTCTGAATGAATGGAAGAATAAAATGGAGGTGGAGAAATCTTATTAGACCAGTAGGTCCACATTCTTCATAGTGAGGTGGCCACCCAGAGTGTATGTTACAGTTTTTTAAATTTAGGATTTTCTGTTTTAGTCATTTGCCACTCGCAAGCATCTACCTTTTCATAGGTAAATATATGCAGAAGAGTTTGAAGAAATGAACTGAGCTGCTTTGGCATCACAGTGTACCTTTGGGCTGTCTGGAGCTGTGCCAGCTATAGGGAATTCAGAAGTGACCAAAACAATCCCATCCTAGCAGTTTACGGTGTAGAAAAGAGAGCCACAGTGTAGCCATTGCAAAGGAGGAAGTATTTGGGTTCTATTGGAGCACCTAGCAAGGACAGCCACTTCAGTCTTGAAGTTTAAGGCTTTTGGAAAGAGTAGGTTAGAAATCTAGACAGAGGTGAGAGCAGCAGATGAAAAATCTAAGGATGGGACTGAGAATGTCAGGAAGAGAATAAAATAACTGCAGGGCCATTAAAGGGATGGACAAAATTGGAAGTGCCCTTTGGAAGGAAATTTAGACAAAAACTGAAAGAGGATTGGCTCATTCATTGGTAGTGAAAAGAGGACGGAATCTGCAGCTTATTCTGTCAAAATCGTGAAAAAGACTGAAGCATCTTCGCTGAAGGTGACAAGAATCATAGTTTGAGTTTCAAAGGGGTTTGTGTCTGTTTCAGTTCCAAATCTCAGTTCTCAAACTTGAGTTATCTCATCTGGGGGAAGTTTTAAAGGGTCAATCCCTGTTAGGCTGGAATTGAGCAGCTGTATGGAACTACTTTCAGTTACTCTCAAAAACTGCCATGGCAAAATGTAAAAGTTGCTTTTGATACCATTTTAAATATTAATATAAATTGTTTTAACTTTATCCTCAGTTAAGATAAAAGCTTTTGTCTCTGAAGAAAGAATAAATTGCCCCATTTATCTACGAAATAATGAATATGAACATGGGTCAAACTTTCACAAAACAAATAAGCTATACTAGGCCATCTCAGTGACCTGAGTCATTACCCTTAGAAATGACTTGTGGTTCGTAATCCTTCGGTTTACAAGTTGCTTTTAAGCTTTTTGTAACTTTTAATTTTGATATTGAAATGCAAGAATAGTACAATGGTTCTCCCTTAGGCTGTTTAACATTTTGTCTCATTCTGTAATTTTTAACCATTTGAAAATAGGTTATAGATCTTGTCCCTTTAAACACCTAATATTTTTAGTGTGGTTAGTACAATACTAAAATGAGGACACTTAATATTGACACAGATTTGTAGTCCAGTCTGTTCAGTTTCAACTGTCTAGGATCCAAAGCAAGGATCATGTATTGTGTTCAGTTGTTGAGTGGGTCTGTGTAGTGACCTTAATTTGTCTTTCATGACTTTGCGATTGTGTATGTAATGTTTTATTTCCCAGCTGTGTTCACTGAGGACCTAAAACCTGTAGTAACTGCAAAGCAATGAGTACACCTAATATCCAGATCTCAATTTCTAAATACAGAAAGGAACCATGCTTCTTGGAGAAATGTCTGACTTTAATCCCGGGACAGAGAAAGTACAAGATGAACCTGTAACATTCTGTTGTTCCTGGGAAGAAAGGAAATCTCAAAAAAGGATGGGTACATGTCCAAAGGGCATGGGAACCACTTGAAGGGTTCTTATTAGCCAAATCTGTATCAAATACATTATTGAAATAGTGGTAGTAACATAACTCAGTGAATGAGAACCTAAAATTCTCATCTATATATATAAAAGCCCAGTGACCGAAACGGTGGAACAACCAGAATGACTGGCACTGCAGCAGCCAACCAGCCTGATCCCGTCCCCGATCAGCTCCCCGACACAGCCGGCCCCCAACACCCCAATTGGGGGCGGGGCCACCCAGCCAACTGCCCGTGGCCCCTCCCCCTGCCAGCCCGGTCCAATGGTCCCCCATCGGGGCAGGCCAGCCAGCCCCCACCCATGCATGAATTCATATCCTGGGCCTCTAGTGTTGATATAAAAAGATGGGGAGAAGGGAAAGCTCTTAGAATGTCAGCTAATAAAGGTAAATGTAATAATGCATCAGACAATCATTTACCTAAAAGCAAATACAGCTTTGATGAGCAGAACATTTACATTGTCTTAAAAATATCTACAGCCCAGCTGTGATGGCTCAGTGGATTGAGCATCGTCCCATGGACCAAGAGGTCCTGGGTTCGATTCCCAGTTAGGGCACATGCCTGGGTTGCGGGCTCCATCCCCAGTAGGGGGTGTGCAGGAGGCAACCAATCAATGAGTCTCTCTCATCATTGATGTTTCTATCGCCCTCCCCCTCTCCCTCTCTGAAATCAATAAAAATATTTTTAAAAAAAATATCTACACATCACATTACTTATTGAAGAAGTTTGTTCAAAAATTTTTTAATTTTATTGATTTTGAGATAGGAGAGGAGAAATCCATTTGTTCCACTTATGCATTCATTGGTTGATTCTTGTGTGTGCACTGACCTGCGAACCTGCAACTGGCACATCAGGATGACACTCCAACTGACCTACCTGGCCAGGGCCATTGAGGGACTTACTTGCTTAAAAATACTTGGCCTGAATACTTCAGACATTAACATTTTTGTATCCTCATTCTCAGTGGGGAAGTATGATCATCCCCATTTAAAGATTGCTATGCTTTTATAGAATATTTTGCAAAAAACAGTTAACTTATTCCCATTAGATAACCAAGAAAAGTGTGGGACTAAAACTGAGATGGGTGGGTAAATTCTTCATAGCCAGGACTGAACCTTGATTTCCTTAAGTTTTCATACAGTTAAAACCATGATGTCCCCTTTTTATTTTTTATCACCATTTAAAATTCAAAGTGATATATATCACTCAGTGCTATCTGCCAGGTACTTTTCTGAATTTTTTATATGTATTAATTTACCTAATCCTCAGCTTCCACTAGGTAAGTCTGGAGCCACTTTACATTTGAGGATACCAAAGCACAGGATTGGAGGAGGTGTTTAAGTTCTCTGGTTTCTTAAATGAGAACTTTTGCCCTTTTAAAAGATATTGTCTGTGTATCTTAAATGAATATCAGGATAATGTGATGGGAGGGTTTTTATAAATAAGTCATCCACTCAAATGATTGTCAGGGTCCATATTTAGGACTAAATGCTAGATCTTGTTTTCTTGGGCCTTTTGGAGATGAGTTGGTGAAAGTAAAGCCCAAAAAGATGTACAGGTGTGTTAAGGTTCCCCACAACCAGGACCTTCACCAGGGCCAAATAGTACTGTTCACATTTTTTTAAAAAACATTTTTAGTGACACCATTAAGCCAGAGCAATTATATTGCATTTGTCAGCCAACCTTTACCTACTTATCACAAAGCACCTCAGTTGTGTATTGATAGCAAAAAAAGCCAGTTTTGCTACTAAGCAGTCTTAATAAAAATTGAAATTAGGGTTTTTTTAAAATCAGTTAACTGTTGATGAAATTTTTTAATGTGAGGTGAATTTAAGATACATTATAATATTCAGGAGTAGGATGCATTAATAAAATTTGTATCTAGATAAATTTGGTCAAGTTTTGCTTGCGATTGTGAATATTTTACTTCATGTTTAGAGCATTTCCATGTAACTAGGATTATATAGGCTATTCTAACATACTGGTATTTACTGAAAGGGGCTTCTCTCCCCCAAAGTACTAAAGTACTTTACTGTCCTGATAATGTCATTTATGGAGTAGAATAAAAAAAAAAATGTAGCTTTTCTTAACATTACCATATTAAGTCATCAATAAAACAGTTTGAATAACCATTGGAAACAATTTCTGGGATGTCAGGCAGCCATCCATTGGTTCTCTGCCAATGGACAGTGGCACAAGTCGTAGTGGTGATAAAGTGCTACGTTAGATATTTAGGATTGGAAGAAAGGGGGAGATGAATATTTTTAGAAACTGCTTTCAACAGTTGCTAAGTAAATATGTTTTAATTGCAATACTGGTTTGCACTGTGCTAGCATGCAGCTCTGATAAGAGTGGTGTTTTAGTATAGATGTAGACAAAAACAAATTAGTCTGGATTGTGTGTGTGTGTGTGTCCACCAAAAAAAAAAATCTGAAAATAAATACTTTGAACAATTTTTAA